CACAAACGCTTGGCCGTGCGCGGTGCAGCAGTGTGCCGCCGAAGTGGGCCACGCCACCGCAAAAACAAAGCGCGACCCCACCGTAACTTTGTCCGTGCTGGCCCTGCTGGCGCGGCCGGCCCTGTCCGCCCTGCTGGGTGGCGCGCGCCGCGCGCTGGAGCCAAAACGCGCGCCGTAACGGCAACGACGACGACGACAAAAATCAGAAATTGGCTTTCCCGATCGCGTTACCGCTCGTCGGCGGACGCCGCCGCAGCGCGCCGCAGGCAGTCCGAATCCGAATGAAAAGGAAAAAAAGCAACAAAAACAAAAGTTGATTATTGGAAAGTTGCGTCGGTGGCTCGGCACCGTTTAGGCGGTATTATCGGCCCGTATAATTCGGTACTTTCGACGGGCTGTGGGCTGTCGGGCGAGGCGAGGTGGGTTTGCCGCGCCCGGCGCCGTCGGGAAAGCCTCAGAAGTGGGCGTGGCGGCGTAGCGCAGTGTGGCGGCGCGGCGAGCCAAGTTGCGATATTGCTTTACTGCATCTTTGTTCCGTCTTTACTGCAGCAGCCGAGTCGCCCCGCCGGACCGTCCCGGCCGGCCAGGCCGTCTTGGCGTGCAGGGCGAGGCGAGGCGAGCGACTTCCTCGACCGTTGTTTCTTGTTAAGCCCCGTTTGTCCGACCGGGGGCGGCGAGGCCGGGCTGTAGGCCGGGCTGTAGGCCGGGCTGTAGGCCTACGAGGGCTCCTCGCCGAGCTGGGCTGGGAGCGCTATGGGCGCCCCATTGCGATGCAAATGCCCTCCGCGGAGAGGCGGGGCGGGGCGGGGCGGGGTAAGGCGGAACGATCAGAAAGCTGCAAACTCGAAACGGAGCGGTGATTCCAGCGTTATTGTGCCGAGGCGTCTCGGGGCGGGGCGGGGCGGGGCGGGGCGGGGCGGGGCGCCGTTCGCACCGCGGCTGGAATTTGGCCGCAGCAACAGGCGGTTTGCGGCGTGTAAAAGTGTCGGTCAAACTCCCTGCTGAGTGCAGATGGAGGCGGCGCGGTCTCGAAGAGAGTCACGTCCTACCCCGCCCGACTCCCACCTCCACTTTTTTTTTCTTTCTTTTGTTGTTTGTTGTTGTTTTTTTAGTCAAAGTTTGACTCGACGCGTTTCGTTTTGCTACCTCGCGCGCAATCACCCTCTCTCTTTCCCTCTTTGTGTGTGTAATTGTAGAAATTGATTTAACTCGCAGTGGCGTGCCGTGGGCACCTTGATTGTGATGGCGCCAAACTCGGTCGACTTTGCGCCCCGCCCCGCCCGCTAAGCACCCTGCATAGAAAGGCGGGACCTCGGTGGCCTGGCCAGCCAGCCCGGCTAGCCAGCCCGGGGGTCGCCTGACTGGAGGCCATCGGGCTGCGGGCCACAGTGGGCCAGCCACTGACGCGGAAGAACCCCCCCCCCCCTCTCTCTCTCTCTCCTTCCCCCTTTCACCGAAATGTCAAACTGCTTTCCCGCCAGCAGGGCAGCAGTGCAGGGGTAAAGATTGGAATGAGGTCTGAAGGACCGAAGGACCGGTGACAATGGCTGCTGGGCACTGCCAGGGCACTGCCAGGGGCCCCGGCCACTCACTCGGACCACTTTGGCAGTTGTTGTTGCCGTTTTTGTCCGGCACCGATTCGAAAGCCGGTATGGCAGGGCGGCCAGGGCCAGGGCAGGCCAGGGCCGGCGTCCGATGGGATGAAGGGTGACGGGTACCGACGGGGCGCGGACATCCCTCCCCCCCCCCTCCACCCGCATGCGGGACGGACGCCCTCTGTGGGCCCCGAGCCTGCCCCGCCGCGCGCCCACCCGGGCTCAATTCACTTTGACGGCAGTCTTTCCCTGTTTCCGCCTTTTTTTCTGGCTTTGCCGGGGGTTTGCAATAAAAAGGGAAAAAAGGGAACTGACCAGATGTATTGAACCTCGGAGCCGCTTCTCCGACAGCGCCACTGTAACGGGCCGCTGTGGCCGCCCTGCCTCCTGATGGGTAGGCAATAAGCCGCACTTTTCACCTGCAGGTAGGCTGGCGGCGTGCAAATATTACGTCACCTCTTTTAAGCCGCTATTTGCCCCCCCCCCCCCCCCCGGTCCATCATCGGTTTAACCTAACCTTCCCATGAACTCAAGATAGGACCGTCATCAAAGGCCGTACCCCCCCCCCCAAAAAAAAAAAAAAGTGATGACTCGATATTTGCACGCCGCCTTTCGCGAAGTCGCCCCTCCCCCAGCAGAACTCGTCCCTGGATCCGCCCTGGCGCAAGGCCCGCTTGGCAGTGTAGCCCCGTGCGTGCGACGCCGTGCGTGCATTGTGTGCACTCGCTGCTAATTAAGATCTGACAGGCCCCCTGCCCGCCCCCGCCCCGCCCGAAGCGAAAGGTCTTGGAAAAGAGCAGGCCCCCCTCCCCCTTCCTCCTGGCTGGCTGCACGCACGCACGCGCGCAGAGGGGCTGCCTGCCTGGCTGGCCGCCGACTCGTAAACGTGTCGATTCGACATGAGTTACTGCCGCGGTACAGCGCTAGCAGGGGCTAGCAGGCCGAGCGACGGCGCCGGCACTCAAAAAACAGTATTAACTAAAATAAACTGGCTCCTCGAGTCTGAATTACCTTTCGGCGGGGCGCGCCCGGCCCGTATCCTGCTCTGGACGGCCAGGGCTGCCGTGGCTTTGGAAATTGGGTGCGGTTTTTGCCGCCGCAACGGCGACCCGGAAACCGGGGCGCGCTCCAGGCCGCCCCGTCGGCCCGTCACAGCATAGCGCGGCCTCCAGGCCCGGCCTGGCGCCTTTTTGCGGCTCGTTCGACACTAGATAACGTCCTGACACAAAGCGGACCGCTTCCCTTGTCCCCCGGAGGGAGGGGGTCGGAGGTCCTGCGGTGGAGGTCCTGGAGGGAGGTCCTGGAGAGAGGTTTTGGGATGGAGGTCCTGGAGGGAGGTCTTGGAGAGACGTTTGGGGATGAAGGTCCTGGAGGGAGGTTTTGGGATGGAGGTCCTGGAGGGAGGTCCTGGAGAGAGGTTTTGGGATGGAGGTCCTGGAGGGAGGTCTTCGAGAGAGGTTTTGGGATGGAGGTCCTGGAGGGAGGTTTTGGGATGGAGGTCCTGGAGGGAGGTCCTGGAGAGAGGTTTTGGGATGGAGGTCCTGGAGGGAGGTCCTGGAGAGAGGTTTTGGGATGGAGGTCCTGGAGGGAGGTCCTGGAGAGAGGTTTTGGGATGGAGGTCCTGGAGGGAGGTTTTGGGATGGAGGTCCTGGAGGGAGGTCCTGGAGAGAGGTTTTGGGATGGAGGTCCTGGAGGGAGGTCCTGGAGAGAGGTTTTGGGATGGAGGTCCTGGAGGGAGGTGCTGGAGGGAGGTCCTGCCTTGAAGAAGGCCCTGGAGGGAGGTTCTGCTGGAAAGTCCTGGAGAGGGTCTCGGAGGACGTCCTGGAGATGCACGCCCCGGTGACGCCGTCCCCGCCGTCGCGGCGGTGAATCGTGGAGGGGCCGCCCCATCCGTCTCCTTTGGTTTAAAATTCACCGGCAAGGCGGGCAGCAGACCGATTCCGGAGAGTCGTTTCCGTCGCTCTGTCTCTGTCGCACTCTTTGGAATCCGTCTGCGGCCGGCCAGCGTCGAGTCACGCGGTCGTAGTAAACTTGTAGGTTCAACCCCTTTTTTGCCTCTCTTGTTTTCCCGTCTTTTTTCTCCCTAAATTACAACTAGAGTCTCCTGGGTGGAAAGCTTTCACTCTGGGACACGGTTTGCAAATAAAACCCCCACCCCGCCCCGTCCAGTCCGTCCTCCACTGCGGTCTAATTTATAGTCAGGACGTCAGCACGGTGGCAGTGATTGGAGCCTCGCCAAGGATTTATACCTCCCGCTGCGCTGCCGCGCTGCAGGGAGGAAGGGGAGAGGAGAGGAGAGATCGTGTTGTCATCGTGGCTGACGGGCCGCCGTCCCGATCGTCGTGTTGCTGCTCTCTCTCTCTCTCTCTCTTGCACACAAGGGAAGGTGTCCCGTGTGGACGCCAGAGAGACAGACCGACAGATTCTGTCTCCTGCTCGACAGGTGGCCGTCCTCTCATATTTAATTCGCTCTGAGCACGTTCTTTCTGTTTGCCCGACTGGGTGTGTCGTGTGACTCGCCGAAGCTGAAAGCCAACCCTTGTACGCTCTCTGTCCTTCCGATCGCTCGCCCGAGCTGCTCTGGTGCAAAGTGCGACTTTTTGCCCACCTTTCAGGTGACTCCCCCTCGCCTTGCGGAGAGGCTCGACTCTGGCCAGGCAGTGCGAGGCACTGGCAGGCACTGCGCAGCCAGGAGCTCTCGTCGGGAACGAATCGGAACGACTCGGTTCGAATGAGTGATTGGGCGAATGAACGAGCCGACGAATGAATGGGTTCAAAGTGCTGGCCGGCAACAGTGCACACGGCGCGCCGTGTCGAAAGAGGCGCCAGAAGAGAGGAGGCTGTCCGTGCCCTTCCAATCGAAGTGGATTGATAGCTAGGAGAGGCGGGATGCTTTTATTTTTGTTATTGTTGCCGCCGTGTTTTGTTGTTGTTTTTGCTGGCTGGCTCTGCAGACAGGTGACTAATGGGCCATCGCCGAGCGTTGATGAGAGTGTTCCCCGACACGGCATGCCGCGCCATGCGGCGGCACCGCGGCGGCACCGCGGCACGCAGAGAGGCTTGCCGACAAGGCCGTTCGAAGCTCCGTCCAGCCGGCACAACGCACAGCCGGCTGCGCTTGCAAGCCTAGGGCTTGCAGTGCGGGCTACACCCGTTCGGACTCGAAAAGCAGAGGACCAGTGATCACTAGTGATCCAAAGCTATTTCAAGTCAAGTCTGCCCTGTCGGCGCCTGCGGATGCGAGGGTAGGCAACCCGCGTGCGCGCGTGCCCGGCGGGCTGGCCTACCCGTCGTTGCGCGGGCGCTTCAGCCCCCCCCCCCCTCTCGCTTCTTCTGGCGTTCTCGCGTCTGCCTTCTGCTTTCCGTTCCGACGATGACGTTTTGTTTTTCTTCTCTGTCTGGCAGGCAACATCCGCACGCTGGTGCCGCTGGACGCCGAGTCGCGCATCCACTACTGGCTGACGGTGGTGGCCTCGGACCACGGCGTGGTGCCGCTGAGCAGCCGCCTCGAGGTGAGTCTTTCTCCGAGGGGTCGGCAACTCATATATTACTTCGTACGCGGTGGCTATATTACCCGTATATTACCTGTATATTACCATATATTACTTGCATATTACCACAATTTCGCCTCTATAATACCCCTATATTACTATATATTACTTTGTATTACTTTATATTACACATATATTACCTATATTACTGGTAATATACGTATACTCCCTCGCACACGGCCAAGGGAAGTTGCCGACCCCTCGTCTTTCTCTCTCTCTCTTTCTCTCTCTCTCTCTCTCTCTCTCTCTCTCTCTCTCTCTCTCTCTCTCTCTCTCTCTCTCTCTCTCTCTCTCTCTCTCTCTCTCTCTCTCTCTCTCTCTCTCTCTCTCTCTCTCTCTCGCTCTCTTCCACCCCATTTCGATGTTTCGATGTCTCACTCACGCCGCTCGGCCTGCCCCTGCTCCCCCAGATGTACATCGGCGTGGAGGACGTGAACGACAACGCGCCGCTGACGCTGCAGGCGGCGTACCGCGGCGAGGTGGCCGAGAACTCCCCGGCGGGCAAGTGGGTGGCCGAGGTGCGCGCCAAGGACCGCGACATCACGCCCGGCCGCCTCTCCTACAAGATCACCGGCGGCAACCCGGAGAACTTCTTCGCCATCAACGCGGACACCGGTAAGGAGGAGCGGCGGGACGCAACGCCCCACGCCCAGTTCAAGTCAACCGAGTACAAGTCAACTCAACTTTCCGGCGCTGCTTTCAGGTGTTGTCACCACGACGGAGCGCCGCCTGGACCGAGAGAACCAGCCCGAGCACAACTTGGAGGTACCGTTCGTTGCTCTACATCCCAAATACCCTGCTGAGATGGTGCTCCCTGCTTGCGAATGTCCGCGAGTGACTTGGTCTCGTCTTCCAGGTGACCGTCACCGACCACGGCCTGCCGCCTCTGTCCTCCACCGCGCGCCTCTTCATCACCGTCCTGGACGTGAACGACAACGCCCCCGAGTTCGAGCAGACCTTCTACCACGTCACCGTGCCGGAGAGCTCCCGGATGGACACCGCCTTGTTCCAGGTAAGCTTTCACTAAGCTTTCACTCCACTCCCATTACAGTGCTTTTAATCAATTAAAATGTGGTTTTCGATACAGCTTTTGACTCTGACATATTTTCTACCAACAATTTTTCGCGTGTTTTCTTAACTACTAATTGTGTGCCTTTTGTAACAAGACGCAATGGTTGAAGTTTACGAAACTCGACCCCTTAACTGCTACTAGGCGGATGTTTTTCAGTGGAGATTCAGTTAGCCACTAAAAGTGTGACGTTTTCTTTGCTCCTCTCAGAACGCAGAAGGTGAAGCTGATGTTTCGGCTGATGTAAATCTAGAGAACGGATCTTGGGAATCTTTTGATGTAGCATCTCTTAGTGGAGAGAGCCTCTTGAGGGTAAGAGGGTGCCCAACATTTTCCCTTTTTCTTAGAATGGCACTGCATTTGTATGTGTTAGCCTGATTTTTATTCTCCTAGTTTGTTCTGTTTGGTTATTTGTTTGTTTGATTTTAAGCATGGCTGACCAAAAAGTATTTACCAGAAAAATGAAGTAGATTCTCCAAAATATATTTTTTAAGACTTTTTGTACTGCACCTTTTTTTTTCTTTGAAGAAGGACACAAATGTGAAAGGCTTTTATTACACTGTGTTCATTCACAAGTGCTTGTTTAAGACATGTGTAAGGTACTGTAGCATTAAAGCACGAATGTGTTTATGCATGATATTTTAAATATACATATGTTTCTGTGTGTTTTGTGTGGTAGCTGATACTGTAAGCATTTATTTTTCTCGTGTTTTATTTGTTTTCCTCCTTAGCGTGTATGAGATGTACTAGCATGATTGAAAATTTTCCAGCTTTGATGTTACTGAGATTTTTGCACATGTATTATAGTTCATTTAATTCAATTTGAGGAAAGGATCTCAGTTCATTTAGGACATCTCAGCATTTAGTAAAATTATTATCATTCCCGACAGGTGCTGGCTTATGACCAAGATGTTGGTCCCAATGGGCAAGTGGAGTACAGCATTAAGTCTGGAAGAGGCAAAGGGAAGTTCCGTATCCACCCATATACAGGCACTGTGTATTCACAGAAAGGCCTTGTTGGAGGCTCAGAATATGACTTACTGGTAAGAATGTTTTCTTTCATTCCGAATTGAGCCCATTGCTCAGTCTCAATTGTTTTCAGTAACATATGTTTTCTCCCTTGTAGATCCGAGCCATGGACCAGGGTACTCCGCAGAGAAGTGCAACAACTCGGGTTACTGTACAAGTGTCCGCTGTTTCCACTTCCTCTTCTCACCCTCCACAGATCAAGACTGTTGATCAACAAGTTCAGATTACTGAAAGTGACAAAGCTAAATATTTAGTAGCCCTTATCCAAGCCTCTGATGAGGATGGGGATAAACTATGGTTTGACATTGTTGGTAAGTAACAATAATACCATAATGAATTGCATGTTAGGCCCAGGGACTGGACAAAATAATTTTGTATTCCCTTGTTTTGTAGATGGTGACAAGAGAAATGAATTTTATATTGGAAGGGACCAAGGAAATGTTTTACTTGCTAAACAACTAGACTATGAAACTCAAAATTTCTACAACCTTACCATTAGTGTGTCTGATATGGTCCACACTGTGTACACTCAGGTATGTTCTTGGGTATGGTTTATATTGTTTGTCATATCACTAATTGCCCATAAGCAAACACTTAACTTCCTTTTGTATTTTCTTTCCAGCTCTATATAACTGTGCTAGACACCAACGAACACCGTCCCGAATTCTCTGAGTCTGAGTACAGGGTGGAAGTTGCGGAAAGTGCTGAGATTGGTACCTCTCTTCTTGAACTTCACGCATCTGATCTTGATGGCACTGATCGAGTGTTCTACAGCTTACACACTGCTAGGAGCCAGGCCTCTCTTGAATTGTTCCGAGTTGATTCTCTGACAGGTGTATTGTCTTTAGCTGCACATTTAGACTGGTAGGTACCTTGCCAACAGCAAATTTTTCCTCAGCTGTCAAAAGTGGATTTAAGAAATGTTGATGTCACTCCATTTATTGCAGTGAAACCATGGATGAACACGTTTTGACAGTAATGGTCAAGGATCAAGGCACTCCATCAAAAAGAAACTATGCCCGAGTCTTAGTGGTAGTGCATGACTTCAATGATCATGCTCCAGAGTTCTCAAGCCAAATCATCCAAGGTCGAGTGTACGAAAGTGCAGCCCCCGGTTCTGCTGTCATGCAAGTTCTCGCTACAGACCAAGACAGAGGAAAGAATGCAGAAATTACCTACTCCATTGCATCAGGAAATGTTGGAAACATGTTTTCAATCGAGCCATCGCTGGGTCATTTGACTGTTGCTCGCGAATTGGACATAAACCACTACCCAGAATTCACTCTGACAGTCAAAGCAACCGACAAAGGAGTTCCACCTCTTTCTGCCACTGTGCCAGTTCACATCATGGTGACCATGGCTGACAACGCTCCACCAAGGTACGGAGCAACTCACATCTGACGGACTCACCATCACTCAAGCAGCAATGCAATAACTCACTATGTTAATTTTTTTTCTAATTTGCAGGTTTACTAAAGATCAACTACTAGCTGAGGTTTATGAAAATCTTCCTCCCGGAACCTATGTGAAACATGTAGAAATCAGAAGCACATCCTCATGCACTCTTGAAATTGTGGATGGGGACAGTGATGGTGTTTTCCTAATGAACCCATCAACTGGTGTTATTAGTACCAAGTTACCTCTAGACTATGAACACACAATTTTCTACAATTTGACAATAGAAGCAACTAACATGGTAAGGATTGCAATACTCACTGTTGTTTGATTCATTCTAATTTTTGTTGGCTTTATTTTAAAAAAATGTTTTGTTTCAGGCCGGCACCAAAGCCCGTTCCCATGTCATTGTGCATGTACTTGATATGAATGACAATTCTCCAAGGTTCATTCAGAATCTTTACCATGGTACTTTACCTGAAAATGCTCCTGTTGGTTCATTAGTCCTTACAAATACAAGCACACCATTGGTAATCAAAGCGACAGACAAAGACTCAGATCTGAATGCTCTTCTTCACTACGACATTGTGGAAAATATGCCTCGCAAATATTTCCACATTGACTCAAGCACAGGTCTGTTTCCAATGGTATTAAAAGCTTAATTTAGTCAGGCTTGAAACCTGGTTTTGCTAACCAGTCCTTGTTTTTCTTTCTAGGTGCGATTCGCACAGTAAACCTGCTGGACTTCGAAACAATGCCTGTATTCCAATTTCATGTGAGAGTTTCTGACCGAGGCAAGCCAAAGCTCACCTCAGAGGTGTTTGCTGAAGTATTAATTAATGTATCTGATGTCAATGACTGCCCACCACAATTTTCTCAAACTGAGTACAATGCTACACTGCTCCTACCAACCTATGCCAATGTTGTTGTGCTTCAAGTAAGGCCAATTATCTACAGATTTATTTTATTTTATAGACCCTTTATATTTAGATGTGTCTAATCTTGAGTATCTCAATTTTCTTTCAGGTCAATGCCACTGATAGAGATTCAGGATCTCCTTCTTCATTGACATATGAACTTGAGAACAACATTGATGGCACATTTTTACTTGATAGCAAATCTGGGATGTTGTCTATTGTTGATCCTTCCAAAATTCAGCAGAAAGGCTCATTCAAGATGAACGTCAAAGTTACAGATGGAAAATTCACTACTACTGCCCCTCTGAATGTTGTGGTAGGCTTCCTTGCTTTTATAATGGTCTTTACTTTTACTGTGCAATCTCATACTATGGCGGTTTTCACAGGTTCAAAAGTCCGAAAATTCAGGACTAGTGTTCCAAAAGAGTGTCTATTTAGCAAATATTGTGGAGAACAGTACCAAAATCACAACAGTTACAGTTGTGAATTTACTGGGTTCTGCTCTGAATGAGCATATTCAATTCAGAATACTCAATCCCACTGATCTGTTTGTGATTGGTGAAACTTCTGGCGCTATAAGAACAACTGGTGTACGGTTTGACAGAGAACAACAAGAGCATCATTCTTTGATTGTAGAGGTATGTGTTGAATCAATCCTTGTATTAATATGATACAGATTTTGTGTGCATTGTCCTTACTGACCTCTCAATTTCACTTAGGCTCGGAGCAGAGATTTTGGTGATGGTCAACCCAGGGTAGCTCATGTTACAGTTAATGTGACAATTATTGATGTGAATGACAACTGCCCCATTTTTGTAAACCTTCCATACTATGCTGTAGCATCAGTAGATTCACAAAGGGGAGAAGTGATCACAAAGGTAAATTTTTAAACTGTCCTTGATAGCTCTACCCAAGCATAGTTTCTTCACACTATCATATTTTCAGGTGCAAGCTGTTGATTTGGATAGCGGTGAAAATGGAGAAGTCCGCTATGAACTCAAGAAAGGACATGGTGATTTATTCAAAGTCGCTCGAAAGTCTGGCGAAATAAGCTTGAAACAGAATTTGGAAGGTCACAATCAAGAATACCAACTTCTAATTGCAGCTTATGATGGAGGTTTGTAGCTGCATATTCTTCACCACTATGTGTTAAAAGATCAACTGCACCTTTATCTAAGTCTTTTTTCCACCTCCTATCATTGCAGGTGTCAGCCCATGTTCCAAGGACGTTTTTGTACATGTAAAAGTGATTGATCGATCAATGCCCGTGTTTGGGAAACAGTTTTACACTGTTTCTGTCCCCGAAAACATTGAATTGTTCTCACCATTGGACCTCAGTATTTCAGCAGAATCTGCTCTAGGGCGGAAACTAATTTACTCAATTGTGAATGGGAATGACTTTGAAGAGTTTGCTGTTGATTTTAATTCTGGTGAGTAAAAAAGTTAATTATAATTCATCAAGAGTTTGTTAGGTTCCTGTCTGGTAACAACATCATATCACCAGACGTCACTGTTAAGTTTTGACTGTTGCATAATTCCAGGGTTTGATGGTGTTTGGAGTAAACAGGGTATGGGTCTTAGAGTGCAATTTGAGGAGTGTGCATGTCCCTCCCCCTCCCCTCACCCTTCCAGATTGAAGAATTTACTACATTTGTTCTGAATTTTTTATGGGAGTTAGCATTCTGTATATTTCCATGATATTCCCTAAGCCAACAGTTTATCTTCATTTCCCCAACTAAAGACCCCCACCAATTCCCCGAGTTATTTATCTGAGTTTCCATAATGTTGTGCTTGTGGTGATGGGGTGGTTGATTTGACTTGATGTATTACTTGTGAAGTCATTAGTAGCATGCCCATTGGTGAGAGTGGTTGTGGCTTGACTTACCTGTTTGCTGTAGTTTTGAAGGTTTATTGTTCAACTAAGATGCATTATGATTAACATTTTACTGAATTATCCAAATGTGACTGACACCTAGATAGTGCTTTTAACTGGACAGTCCCCCCCTCCCCCAAATTTTCTTAGTACTTACCTTGAAAGTGATTGTGTAGTTAGTGACAAATCATACATTGAGGGGGTTCAATAATACAAACCTAGGAGTAAAGAAAGCGAAAAAAATTAACTATTTCATTGTTATCCTGCTGTTATCTCATTCGTATTTCGTACTTTTCTTTCCTACAGCTGGAAGCAATGACAATGGGGCTTGTGAGTATTGATTTCGTTCATGTTTATTGTGTGTGTTAATGAGTTTTCAGATTTCAAATTTTTAAAAAGTTATAACCAGTTGTTTTGAATTTTTTAGTATTTATTTTTGGTTTTCACTTACAAACTTAGCATATGGTTTTTTTTATTGTTTGAAATAGTTATAATCGTTTTTATTTGTTTTGTAATTTTAAGTTTTCCCTCCATGCCTTTGGTCGATTATTTAATCGTATTTTGATATTTAGCTCATAAGTTTTTTTGTGTTCTTGGCTTTTGCATGAATTGGAAAAAAATGCCATGGCTGTGCTTGGTGCTTTAGCAAGTGCTTTTACGGTCCTAAATTTTCTTTTCAGCACATTGAAGCAGCTTTGCCTCTGTATGTTTGTTTTTAAGCAAGAATATTGATTGAATTCTGCATATTTTTTCTGTACACCTGAAAATTTAGCTGTGTGTGTGCGTGCGTGTGTTTTCGTTTTTTTCTCTCTTTCTGTTGCTTTATCATTACATCAACTGAGCAGCTTCTTGCATTTCTGATTGCAGCAAATTTATTAATTTGTTGCTATATGATTTATTTTTATACAGTCCTATTAATTATTCCTTTTGTCTCCTCAGGTGTGCTGTATGTCATTGACGAACTTGATTTTGAACACAAGCAGTCTTATGAACTGACTGTGCGAGCTGTTGACTCAGTATCTGGTGTCAGCTCTGATGTACTAGTGAATGTGCAAGTTGAAGATGTGAATGATTGCCCGCCGGAGTTCATCAACGATTCGTACACAGTAGCTGTTTCGGAAGCAGCAACATTCGGCTCTCCTCTTCTTAAAGTGACAGCTCGTGATAATGATACAGGTTGGTGAAATTTCTTTCTCTCAATTGACAGATTTGTGTTCTTCTTTTGGTTCATTGTTCAGGCTGTTATTTGATTTTCGACTTTGCATTTTAGGCATTAATGCAGTTGTGCGGTACTCAATGCTCCAAGACTCTGGCAATGCTACAAAATACTTCCACATTGATAGTGAAGATGGGTCAGTGTATTTGAAGCAAGCCTTAGACCGTGAGAGACAGGACTCCCATCATTTTACAGTAATTGCAAATGACAGTGGCATTCCAAGCTTGTCAACTACTGCACATGTTTGGGTTTCAGGTAAAACTATTTTCAGTTAAAATGAAAAGATTATTGACATGCAAAGAGTTAATTGTATTTATTGCTTCTGTTTTATTCAGTTCTTGACATGAATGACAACCCACCAAAGTTTGAGTTGCCATCCTACAGTTGTGTTCTTTCTGAAGATGCTGCAAGAGGCCAATTTGTGACCATGGTAACTGCAAGTGATGCAGACACAGTAGATCAAGGACACCTCACCTACTCAATTGTCGGTGGAAATGACTTGCAAACATTTTCTATTCAACCCAACTCAGGTAACAAATGTCATTTGCTTTATTAATGTTTGTAAGTGTGTAGTTGCATTGTAAAATCAATCAATTGAATAATGTTTCAGGCATCATTAAACTTATTAACTTGCATCAGCTTCCATTTCACACTGCTCACTCCCTCAATGTGTCTGTCACTGATGGAGTTTACACAAGTTTCACACGTGTGCATATAGAAATGCAACCAGCAAATCACCATGATCCCGTGTTTAGCCGACACCTCTATGAAGCAACTGTGGTTGAAAATAGAGCACCTGGTTCTCGAGTTATAATTCTAAAGGCAACTGATGCCGACCATGGTGCCTATGGACATGTATCCTATGCTATCACATCACCCTTGTTCAGTGAGATATTCTCAATCCATAAGAACTCAGGTATGTAGTTGCTTTCTCACCAGTAAATTAAGACTGCTCTTGTCCAACTTTGACTTTTATCTAAAAAATTGCAGGAGAAATCACTACAAGGATGAAGCTAGACCGAGAAAAGCGACGAATGTATGAGTTACCAGTGTCTGCCGCTGATCATGGAGGCAGGATAGGCCACACAATAGTTCGTGTTCGTGTCATTGATGAGAACGACAACACTCCATACTTCTTGCAGAGAGAGTACAAAGCTTCAGTCATGAGCAATTTGACCATTAACTCAGGTTTCCTCAAGGTAATTTTGACAGTTTGATATAAATTCATTTTGCTACCATAAATCATTGCTTGATTAAATATTGTATTATTTTTATGTTTCAAGGTAAAATCTTTTGACAAAGATGAAGACATCAATTCTCAAGTTGAGTACAGTATTTATGAGAAAGAGTCGCCTGGAGTGAAAGACCTGTTTGGAGTCAACAGGCAGACAGGTGGCATCTACCTGCTAAAGAGTGCTGTTCCTTATGGTAACTAAACCGACACAATAATGTTTTCATTTTCTTTCGTTGCCCGATAGCAGTTTAACATCTTGTATTGCTTTGCAGAAAACCAAGTATTCCAGTTCTTTGTCCGCGCACAAGACAGGGGAAAGCCCTCCAGACATTCTGATGCACCAGTTGAAGTGTACATCATGAGCTCAGGGGACTCGCCACCTATTTTCCAAAGAAAAGATGAAAAGTATTTCCTCTCTGAAAAGTCATCTATTGGTAAAATACTTTCTGTCCATTTATCCTTGTAATACAAGTGAAGACCTGTATTTCATAGTTTTCTTGTGCTTAGCAAAATTATTTACCTCACCGCTTTTTTCAGGCACTGTGATTGCAAGATTGAAAACTATGACGAACATGTCAGTTTCCTACCGTATTGTCTCTGGCCAAGAGGACAATGCCCTGTTTGCTGTTGACGAAGCTGGCACTTTGACTCTGCAGCAGCCTCTCGACCGGGAGGCTGCTGACCACCACCACATCGCCGTGCTCGCAGAAACACACACTAGTCCATCTTTGGTTGCCCTCGCAGAGATCACCCTTAAGGTGCTGGATGAAAACGACAATGCTCCCCAGTTCCATTCTAACTCCTATGCTGCTGTAATTTCAGAAAATGTTGACGAGAAAACTTCTATTATCAAAGGTTTGTGGTACCCAGTTCTCCTTCAGTCTTTGAAAAATGTAAAATTTTCTTGAATGTTTTGTATTTATCTTCATATTGTTGTGAATTTTTCAGTGACAGCCGAAGATGCAGATCAGGGAAGCAATGGAGAAGTGCGATATTCTCTGGAGTTAGAAGACGACAGTTTGGTTAACACCTTTGCAATTGATCCTCATTCTGGTTGGATCACAACCCTTTTGCACTTGGACCGAGAAGCTCAGCAACACTATAAACTCACTGTTGTTGCTAGTGACAATGGCCATCCTAAGCATTCAACACGTTCCATAGTGCACATTCAAGTCCAAGATTACAATGATAACCCTCCAGCCTTCTCGAATAGTCTATACAAGGCAGCAGGTAAGATTAATTTCTGTTATCTGTTTTTGCCTCTGCACTCTTTTCCCCTCATTTACTCATTTGAAACTAAATTTTTATTTGCAGTGAATGAAGATGCCCTACCTGGAACTGTCATTATGCAACTAGCTACTTCAGATGCTGATTCTGTAAAGATGCCAGTTGACCTCTACATTGTGTCTGGTGACCCTGCATCTCAATTGTCTGTACGACCAACTGGGGAAGTCTATGTCGTTCGCGCCCTGGATAGGGAAACAGTGCCTCACTACAATTTACAAATTGTGGCCACAGATGGGAAATTTGTGACAAGTTCTAATGTGTCCATTGAGATCTTAGATGCAAATGGTAAGGAGCGAAAACAGAACATCAGGTAGTTTTTGGTTTTATTTTTGTTTGCTCATGTTTTGATCCTACTTTTTGAAATTTAACAGACAACCCACCATACTGTTTACGCCATCGATATCGCTCAGTTGTTTCTGAGGAGGTCGACACTGGGACATTCTTGTTAAGTATTCGAGCTTCAGATGTTGATGAAGGCTCCAGTGAAAACCTGCGATTTTACTTAACTGGTGCAGGGGCTGAGCACTTTACCTTGGATAAAGCTGGAGGCCATCTGAGGACTGCTCACAATCTTGATCGTGAAACCCAGAGCAAATATCTACTAACTGCTCATGTGCAAGATCGGGATGGAACTGGAACAACTCAAGGATGGGAGTGCAGCTCATTAGTAGAAATTGTGATAGCAGATGTAAATGACAATGCTCCTCAATTCACTCTTCCATCATACACAGCATCACTCTCTGAAGATGCTCAAATAGGAACACTTGTGGCAAAATTGCATGCTAATGATAATGATACAGGTGAGGCAAAGTTTAATTCATCTAAATCTTTAAAATTGCACATAAGAATATTATTTGGCATTTTTTCTGTACTTTTGTATTTGTTTCCTGCAGGTATCAATCGCAAGGTGCGATATGCAATTATTGAAGCTGAACCAACCTCCAGCCCCCAATTTAAAATTACTAGTGACAGTGGTATTGTCACACTTGCCAAGTCTCTGGATAGAGAGCTAGTGGACCGTTATAATTTGACAATAGAGGCATCTGACCAAGGCACACCGCAACTTCGGAACCGGACACATCTTTTTGTGAATGTTCTTGATGTGAATGACAATCCTCCAGAATTTGTGTCTAAAGTGTACCATGCTTTGGTGCCTGAACTCTCACCTGTGGATACCACAGTTGTTAAAGTGATGGCTACCTCCAAAGATATTGGTGTCAATGCAGAAATATCTTATTCCATTGTCAGTGGTAACAGTCACAAGAAGTTTGCCATTGATAGTAAAACAGGAGTTCTTAGTATCCGGGAGCCTTTAGATTATGAAATTTGTAAAAGTTATTTTCTGACTATTGAGGCAGTGGATGGAGGTGATCCGCCACTCAGCAATCAGGCTACGATCAACATATCAGTCTCAGATGGCAACGACAATGCTCCTATCTTTAACCGACCGTCCTATGCGGCACGAATACGCGAGGATTCTCATACAGGCGGAAAAATTCTACAAGTTACTGCAAGTGATTTCGACAGCGATGCCAATGGGAAGATAATCTACAGGATCCGAAATGGTGACAACCTGAAACAATTTTCAGTTGATAGTGCCACTGGATACATCTCTGTTGTCAAACCACTTGATCGAGAAGTTTTGTCAAGCTACGTACTAGAGGTGGAGGCCGTGGATGGAGGCATACCACCACTATCAAGTGTTGCACTAGTGAATGTAGAAATTTCTGATGTCAATGACAATGCTCCCATCTTCTCTGAACAAAATTACACTGCAGTTGTGCAGGTATGCTGAGTATCTGATGGCAGTTTTTATATGTATTTGTTTCCTTGAATACTTTAATTTAATTATATCTTGTTTATCTAATTCTAGGAGGACAAGCCACTTGGATATGCAGTTTGTCATTTGAAAGTCACGGATGCTGACACATTCCCCAACACTGAGCCATTTGTTTTCGAAATAATAGCAGGAAATGATGCTGGTATGTTCCGCATTGAACAAGATGGAGTAATCAGAACTGCCGCACGATTTAATCACAAGAACAAGGACTCCTATGTCTTGCAAGTTCGTGTATTTGATTATGGGCTTCCTCCATTGTCTTCTGATACTTGGGTGTTCATAAAGGTTTGTAATTTGAACTTGTTTAAGTCCTGTAGCTAATTACCCACTGTGTTATATTTTATTCTAAAATTAAACTTGTTCCATTCATTTTATTACAATTTTCCTACAGGTTGTGGAGGAGTCTCAATACCCACCCATTGTAACACCTCTTGAAATTTGGATCAACTCCTTCCAAGATAACTTTGTGGGAGGCGAAGTGGGTCGTGTGCATGCGACTGATCAAGATGTGTATGATCAGTTGGCCTATAAACTTGTTCCCATGGTCACGCCTCAGCCTGCTGCTGCGGCCAGTCAACCTGCTCTGTTCAGCGTCTCTGGCAATGGTTCAATTCTCGCATCGCCTCAGCTTGATGTGGGCCAGTACAAACTCAATGTGTCAGTTACGGATGGAAAATTCATCTCATATGCCACAATTAAGGTGAGACTTGTTTTCTTTCTGTTTTGTTCTGTCGTCATGAATGTCTGACGCAATGCTAATTATCATTGCAATTTTCCTCCTTAGGTGTGGGTTGAGCTTGTCTCAGATGAAATGCTGAAAGACTCATTAAGTATTAGTTTTAGAGGCATTAAAGCCCAGGACTTTCTTCAAAACCACCGTAAAGGTTTCATTCGAGCATTGCATAAAATTCTGTCTGTCAAAGTAAAGGATATTATCTTAGTTAGTGCCCAGGTATGGATTCCTTACTAATTTCTGATTTTATCCTCTTAAGAGGATATGGTACACCTCCCCTGAAGCGGCATTTCCAGGGACCCGCAGGGACCTCTTTCTAACGCCGTCCTGGCCACACCGTTCGAGGTATCGTTATGAAACTTGGCACACGGGCTCAGAAGGGATCAATCTCAATGACGGTGCGTTCAAAAAAAATTTTTGAACGCCTAAGTTAGGCCCCAGGGCAGTCCAGTTCTGGTCCAACTTTCGTTCACAACAAGTCCTAAGAAAATGGGAATATCGAAAAAAGGGCGATGGTACGTTCTAGATTGACATTTACTCTTTCCGGAGATGTTATCCCCGTTCATGTGCGTTCAAAATTAGAGGTCAAAACCCGGTAGACCGCAGACCTCTGCACGGCGACTTTCGGCGATTCCGGAGCCGGTCAAAGAGAAGAAGTGCAATGTATCTGTCGACGAGCTGTACCGGCCCCAGACCCCGCACATGTTGTCGCCAACTTTGTTTCACTGAATAGGGACTGCCTGGGCACAGCCTGGCCCGCCACCCTCGCCCAAGGATCGGCACCGTGACAGGTCAATTTATGGCCCCGTGCCTAAATAGTTAAATTTTTCAGCGGTTCATTTTGGAGTTGTGAAACTTGCTCAGATGGATCCAACGGGCCATTGCGGTGTCAGGCGACTAAAGATTCAAGTTCTTGCGACTATTTTGACCTAGGCTTTCCCGAACGTAATCAAGTCCGGTGGCGGGGCTAGTACTGGAGAGCTAAGGTCAAAATGGTCGTAGAACTTTATTTTTGAGTTGCCTGAAACCACAATCGTGCGCTGGACCTCATTCGCCAAATCCTAAAACTCTAAAATAATCCGTTCAAAAATTTAACTGCCGGGGTCTGGGGCCCATAAATCGGCCTGTCACGCTGCCGACCCTTCGACTCATCGGCTCCGGCGCGTGAATGAGGCGGGGGCGGAGAGCCGGCAGGGGGCCCGGCGCAGAGACAAAGAAGAGGGCTGCATGCAGGCAGCCAGGAGGGGCAGGGGCGGGGGCAGGCGGGGGTCAGCATAGCCCGTCTACGACAGTGCCTTTTCAAAACTCTGCGAGATGACAAAAATCACCGTGCAGAGGTCTGCGGTCTACCGGGTTTTGGCCTCTAATTTTAGTCGCACAGGAACGGGGATTTCATCACTGGAAAGAGCAAATGTCAATCTAGAACGTACCATCGCCCTTTTTTCGATATTCCCATTTTCTTAGGACTTGTTGTGAACGAAAGTTGGACCAGAACTGGACTGCCCTGGGGCCTAACTTAGGCGTTCAAAAATTTTTTTGAACGCACCGTCATTGAGATTGATCCCTTCTGAGCCCGTGTGCCAAGTTTCATATCGATACCTCGAACGGTGTGGCCAGGACGGCGTTAGAAAGAGGTCCCTGCGCGTCCCTGGAAATGCCGCTTCTGGGGAGGTGTACCATATCCTCTTAATATGTGAAAATTATATTCATTCATTACAAATTTTTCAGGATGCTCAGTTTTCTTCAATTGGGAGAATGAAGAGAGACTCTGCCAACCTTCTCATGATCTTGTTTGTTGTGCGAAGCCCTAATGGCATTGGGTATGTTAAAGTTGATAGTCTCCGAAATATTGTATCATCCCACATTGAAGATTTAGAATTGGCAACTGGACTAGTTGTTGATCAAGTTGCACAGAGGCATTGCACAGATGCTTACTGTGCGTTTGGGACCTGTGAGGACAGGGTGTCCCTGAATGGAACATCTGTTGCTGTGGTTAGCACTCAATTGTCAAGCTTTGTGTCCCCACATCACCAACTAGAAGTAGTTTGTCATTGCTCCCAAGGCTATTCAGGTTAGTTATAACCATTTCCTCCCTCTTATTCATGTTATGTTTCTTAAAATGGATTTTTGGTCTAATTTTTTTCTTTTTCTTCTTTGAACAGGTGAACACTGCGATATTGCAGTAAATAAATGTGCTAGCAATCCTTGTCCTGAGAACATGATGTGCGTTCCCGATTCTTCATCATCAGGGTTTGCTTGTCAATGTCCTGAGGGAATCGCAGGTCCTGTTTGTCAAGAGAATGAAACCAATTGCCAAAATGTTTGCTACAACCCTCGCAGTCCAATGTCAATGACTGGGCGCAGTTATGCGTTTTATGCCATCACTAGGCCTTGGCTTGAAAGAGAGCTGAACGCTACTTTACGCTTGCGCACTCTCCATCCGTCTGGAAACTTACTGTACATCGCTGGAAAAATTGATTATGCTATTTTAGAGGTATGCTCGATTGTTTATTATTATTGCCTCAAATTCATAATCCATAAAATTATTAACTTTTTAAAAATTTTGTGTACCAGGTGGTTGGTGGCATTGTGCAGTTTAGATTTGAACTTGGAAGTGGTGAAGGCATTGTCCGTGTCACGAGTGTGGCTGTAAATGATGGCCATTGGCATGAAATCAGCCTTGAAAGGATGGGCAACAGAGCACAGCTCACAGTTGATGGAACTCATGTTGCCCAGGGTGTTTCTCCTGCAAGTGCAGATATACTTAACTCTCCTCAACATTATCTTTACTTCGGATCAGAGGTGACTTAAAATATGGTTGTTTAGATTCAAGTTCAGACTAAGCTTTCTGTTTTCAAACTTTTGACTTGTTTTGTTTTTAGGTGCAGCCACATGGAACTGTAAAAGGTTTCGAAACATCATCCAGAGGCTTCACAGGATGCCTCGACGCTGTGCAGCTCTGGGGAACTCCTTTGCCTTTACATTCTGCAAGTGCAAACTCCTATGCGGCTCTTAAACGTCTTGCAAATGTCCAGTTTACCTGTGGACCCCTCTCAAGTCCTGGGGCTTGTGGTCTCCACCCCTGTTTGAATGGCGGATCTTGTCGAGATGACCCATCGAACCCTGAAGGATTTACATGCTTGTGTGCCGAACAATTTATGGGCAGCAGGTGTGAGAAGGACACAGCTCCCTGCTTATCCTCTCCTTGCCTGTTTGGAGGGCGCTGCATCCCCCTGCCCAGTGGCTCCTACAAATGTGAATGTGAAGAAGGGCTGGGTGGTATGTGCAAATATGGGAAAATCAATGCTCAATGTCTGCATTCTTTCATCTGGCTCTTATCTGAATTTTGCTTCTTGCAGGTAAACGATGTGAGTATGGACGGTACTGCAGTCCCAATCCCTGTTCAAACAGCGTGCCCTGTGAGGAAGGTGATAATGGTCCCCTCTGCAAATGCTTGTTGGGCTACACTGGAGAGTTGTGCGCTCAAGACATTGATGAATGTGCCTCCTCTCCCTGTCTCAACGGTGGGACTTGTGTGAACCAGCCTGGGGCTTTCTATTGTCTGTGTCCCATCAACATGACGGGTATTGATTGCAACACTGCTGTTGTTCATACTTCTATAACATCTTCAATATATAATGTCACTCGGGATGAAATCATAGGCAAGTGTTATTTGTTTCAAATCTCAATTTACAAATTATTTTTCACTGTAAATATGACTTTTTCATTTTTCTTTTTTCAGGCATTGGAGTTGTTGTTCTTGTGATCATAAGTTTTGTTCTGGGCTGCATTATTTATCGCAAGTGTCGCATAAATAGAAGGAACAACAATCGAGGTAGTCATATTAATAATGGCACCAACAAGGATAACATGGTGTTAAACTCGACAAGGGTCACAAATGCGGACTTTAAAAGAAGCTCCAAGCTCAGTAACCTGGAAGTCAGTCAGGTAAGCACAAGCTCTCCTCCCTTCCTTCCAGAATTCTGTCTTAAAAACAAAACAATCCTCACTGATCACTATTGATGTTGCAGAGGGAGCCCCTGACTTGTCCTGCTCGCCCTGCATCGTTCACACCGAGCACTCACCATGAACAGTATATTGCCGCAACTCTCAACAACTTGGACACCTTGCGGAGCTATGGTTCTGCTGGAGATGAACTGGAAAATGTGCCTCCCGATTATCTACGCAATCTCAACCGTCAGTCGCCTCTCAATGTTGTTGGTGTTCCTAATGCACAACTTCCCCTGAGTGATATGAGTAAACTAAACAATGGTTGGTTGAATACTATCCTTAACTGTTCGATGTTAATTTTTTACAGCTTGTATTTGTGACAACTCTTGATGTATTGTTTGTATATTTTCAGGGGGAAAAGCTGCTGATGACTGCTGCCGTTCTCCTGGATATCATTGGGATATTTCAGATTGGTCACGATCAAGCCAACCCCCGCTGCCAAACATTACTGAAGTTCCAGGGAGTGAAGTTCCTGACTCCAGTAGTTTTCATAGTGATGAAAGTAATGAGGGAAGACCTATCATGAATCTCAGCTTACCTACAGGTGGGTTCTACATTCCAGATTTTTCAAGTGAGCAGTGCTCATCAGAAACAAATCATCAACTTTAATATTCACCTTTACAATTTTCAGTTGGAGAAAGTATTAATGGTATTCGTGATATGGAAACTTTAAATGAAGAGGAGTCTGTGGATGAAGCAGAAGTCGATGCCCACAGCTACTTGCTCCATCCAAACCACTACCTACCAAATAACCCACTCCCAGAGTCAGATGATGATGATGTTGCACCATATGGGTTTCACAGTCAACATCATCAGCGGAGATCTTTATTAAGAAGCCAGAGTGACCTGTCAACAAATTTATGTGACATTGATGATTCCGAAATTGAATGCTCCGACATCCACCACCCATGGGGTAAAGTCACTCAGACATCTGTATGACACCAACGATGCTGGGAGCTTCCCAGCACATTCGCACATTGTTATGACATGGCTGTGGCAGTGTGCTAACTTTTCCTCTTTTTTGTTAAGATCAAATATTTGTAACTCACTCTTAGCTGTTGTTTTTTTTTTTTTAACTGTTGTGCCATTTAGCTTCAAGAAGTCCTTCTGCAAGATGAAATATTTGATCTACCAAAACCAATGTAGCTTTTGTACACTTAGTTTTTGTGTCGTTGTCTTACAGTTTTATGTTTTTAATTTTATGCAAGATTGTTTTGGGGCCACTTTAATCCAGAAAATCTCTATGAATGACTGGGCTACTTAAACCTAAAATTTGTTGAAGTGAATGTGAACTGGTTCACCATAAAACTTCTGTTATTTTGCAGTATTGGTTTTGAAGACTGCATCTAACCTGATCTATGACCAAATTCATAATTTATTTTTTCTTCTTAGTAGTCTGTTTGTTTTGATTACGAGTTAACTTATGCAGATACTGCAAATGTTAAATGAGATCCCCCTCCATTAGTTTAAGAGAATTGATCTCATTCATTGCACGAATTTCAAGCTGATGGCATGATGTAGTAGTGGATGGAATCTATAAAGTGAAGACTGACTTAAAGGCATAAAATGTTTGGAAATGTTTGTTACACTTCTGGGTGTGATGAAATTTCTCTTGTCTTTTCATTTCTCAACATGAATGACTGAAGGACTGATTTATGAGAAGTTTTACATTGATGGCCTACCTTTCTTATCAGGTCTAAGATTTAAAAAAAAAATTATTTATCTTTTCCTTTTTAAAGTCAATGCAAAATGTTGCTTGGATAATTTGGAGCTTGTTGTCAAGATGTTACCCACCAACATCCCATTATTTTATTGCTCAGTATTTTCAACATGCCAGTTTTTTTTTATTCCCTGTGAGTTTTCTCCCATTTTCTTATACCTTATGGCATTTTTAGGTTTCATCTCAATGCAGTATCTGTTTTGATTTAGATTTTTTTCCCATTTTACTGTTTGTACAGTAACGTCATATTTTGCGGTGTTTTTAAAAGCTATGAATATGACTTGTGATATATCTGATAATGCTTGTACAAAATTCAGTGTCATCCAATTAGTGGCTGATGCAGAAGCAGCCCACTTTTTTCCTATTCCCTTGCAGCTACTTTTTTATTTATTGACTGATCTAGCAGCTTTAACATTCTGTGCCAATCACAAAGTCTTTGTCCCATATGTGTTCATATTTCATTTGTCAGTGACAATACTGTATTTGTTTGTAGGGACTTCAGTTGATTTCCACTATATTCTTAAACTATGTCACAGCACAAACAGATCAGGCAACTTCAACCTCTTACTTTTTAACCTTGTTTGTGTCCATCTTTCTTTACCTGGATGCTGAGTATTTTTAAAACTTTAATTTTTTAGGTACCATATCAGACCAACTTTAAATTTCAATGATGTTTACATTGATCTTAAAAGAGTATCTGTGATATTTTCTAGGTGTATGACCTTTTTATTTGGTGCATTGTCTCCTCTAGCTTTACCACCCTTTCATTCCTTGAAAGGGTTGAGACTTTTATTTTCTTGTTGTGACAACTGGTTGTCAAAGCCAAGGAAAGAAAATGTGAATTAATTTCCAGTTGCTTTGATTAGAGAGTTCTTAAATTGAGTGCTCTTAGAAAAAGTCAGGGTCATAGCAGATAATGACCAGTGTGATATTACTCTCTTGCTAGCAAAGTAAGATGCTGGAGTTAGTTTTAATAAAACTGTCAATACATAGATACCCTCAATGTGCATTGATAGATGTATACTTAGAAAAACATAGGGTCAATGAAAAGTGTACATATCTTGTAAATAATAAACTATGTTTGTAAAAGAAGATGGCCTCTTTCCTACCTACTGTAGTTGTCACTTACCACTTTACCCCTGGCTCCACGGATGGATGAAACCTCAAGTTGACGCAGGCCGCTCAGAACCAGAACAGAAGACAAACCCTGGCTACCATGGGCTCTGCTCATAGGCTACCATAAAAATACCAGTATCCCTCTCCTCTCAAAGAGCAAGGGAAGCAGGACAAAGAATGACTAACTGGGAAATATTTTAATACAATTAACACACCAAAATGCCATTTACATGAAGTCATCCGAGTCACTGCCTCCATCCAAGTTGGTCTTCATATTTTCAGATTTCATAAGGGTTGTGTAACTCCTGTGAAGAAAATTTAATTTAGATTTTACACACCTCGGTAGCTTTTAAAACATCTGAGACATAAGTACATCAGTGAATATCTACCTAGTCTCGGCTTCCTCCTTCCGCCTTCTTTCCTCTTCTTTCTGCTTGGCCAATTCTTCCTTTTGTTGTTTTTTCTTCCCTTCTTTTTCATTCCTGTCTCGCTCTTCACGTTGGTGCCGTAGATCTGGCTGTGGGTCCACTTCACGAGTTTTTTCCAGTCTTTTAACTATTAGATTATTTTTTGAGATTTTCAGTTTACGAACCTAGAAGAAACAAAAGAATATACCTGCTTATTAAATGGTCGTAAAATAAGAAGATGAATGTTGAAAAACACAAATGATATACCTCTTTATCATTATGGAACCCAACTTGACCAACGTCCATCTCTGGGGTTTTTCTCAGGTTACTCCACATTGTATAAACTACATCTACTTCATTCATTTTGCATCCAGAAATGCTGTTTGCCTTCACCAGCTGGCCAGCATCCTCTAACACAGCTGGAGGAATTTCTTTGATAGTTTGACCCTGAAACAAGAGAAGGAATTATTTTTTAGGTTACTCAGTTTTAGTTTACAGTTGAACATTTCTTCAACTATTCAATAAAGAAAGATTACATACTGGAGCTAGACGAAGGTAAACGTGTGCAGATGAGAGTTGGTCCACATGGAACCATACATCTTCAGGCCAGCCCCATTTAATAAGGTCTTCGTCTGCAACAATTAACGTACAAATCAGATACATAAATTTACTATAAAAATAAAGTGTCATACAGTGAAAATAACCTAAATGATTAACAATGTAGAAAATACTGATCAGAGCGCATCAACCACTAGGATTATGTTGTGATTGGTTACTTACTTTCATATTTGTCGTTTCCCATGAACAGAGTGATAGGTGGATTCTCAACTGTAATTAAAAATTGTTACATTGATTCACGGGAACATTAAAATAGTACAAATAATGTCACTTCAAAACAACATCATGGGGTTAGGTTCACCTAGAATTATAAACAAAGGTAATTCAACTAAAACTCACCATCACTTTTGAAGTAGACCACCATTTTAACGATTTTGTGATGATCAGATTGTGTTGAAGATCCTCCGGCTGAAACTTTCAGTAAAATGTCCGAAGTCAAATACACATGGGCAAATGGTTAACGTGAAAGCAGCGTGAAAGATTTCGATGTGGATGGTTGGTGCACCTTCCGTACCTTCCGTATTTTTGTGTTGGCATCCTGCAATTATTATGAAAAATATTGCACTCGAAAATTTGGCTCGGTGGGGAAGTCCAATTCCAACACTTTTCTGTCACGTATTACGGAGGTAGAACTTTAAAGGAAAATATCCAGAAGAACAGCTCTTTTTGAAAATAGTGGAAGCTTTCCAGAAGCCTTCAGCAGCGTTAAAAAAGAAACACGGAGCAGTTACCGTACAGTATGAGAAAATAACAATGAGTCAGAGCCAGCTGTCAACTGTTGAGTGTTGTGTTGTGAAGTCGTCTGCTAGGCCAGCTCATGTCATAAGTCCTAGCGCCATGGACAAAAACAAACGGACATGACCTTCGGACTGTGCATCACTGCGGCCGCCCTCAGTCATCGCACAAGCCATACTTTCTGTCATTTCGTTGTGAAGTCGACTTGATTGGTGTGGTGCGGGCAGTGGTTGACGGTGACACTTAGGTGGGCAGGAAGCTGGCTGTCAGTAACTGGCTTCTTAATTCACTTCAATAATTTGTCCGCCTCCTAAATACGTGAAGCGTGTTGAAACTGTCATTGATTTCCAGTTACTTCGATCCGGCCAGCTCGGCGTGGTGTCGCTGGTCAGGAGGCCAACCACACCTAGAAGGCGTGCTGCACCCACAGGAACCCAGAGGACCTAGAGCAGAATAGAGTCTGTGTGACCAAGCCATGTCTGAGTGGTGGGATGGCCTGGAGAAGCTGGCCCCGGGCACGGGAGGCCTCATCCGGAACATCCTTAGTCCTGAGTCGATCCCCAACAAGGTGCTGGAAGTGAAGCTGGATCGTTACACTAAACGAGTGGTTCAGCGAAGGGAAGAGAACCTTGTCCTCTACGGCCCTGCTGAAAAAAAGTATGAGGTTGTTCTAGCTCCAGCTTTAGAGTCAGCCAGCAAAGGATTCAGGTTTGTGCTAACATCGCCAATGCTGAATTAACTTTGATACCAAGGCCAGACTAATCTCTATACCTTTTTCTTCCCATTTCAGCTTGTATCGTGTAGAAAGTACTGATAATGCTGAAAAGAGATTTGATCAGTTGAAAGACAAACTTCCTGTGATATTTGGCGTTTCTAAAGAGGTATGTTGTTTCATAGCTTCCCTTTCTGATTATGGAGTAACGTGTGTTTTTAATCATTTTTTAATGTTCAAGGAATGTAATGTGACTATGATTCAAAAAGTTTGTGATGGACTTGAAAATAACCCTGGATGGAATATTGCTCACCTGGCTGCCTACTGCGATTTGATATCAGCTTTGAATTCAGATGCAGTTTCTGAGTTAGTTCTAGAAAATCACTCAATAATGTTTTATTTCCTATGTTTCGCATGTTCTCATCATAATTATGTTAATTCAGGTTCCTTGATAAAGCTGATCCCAATACAGGGATGACACCACTCTTAGTTGCTATTCAGGCTCAAAATGTTCAGGCTATCAAAACCCTCATCGGAAAGAAAATTTCTCTAGACTGTGTAGATAATGAAGCCAACTCAGTGCTGCATTATGCTGCCAGCACTAGCAAAGAAATTCTCACTGTGAGTATTTTTGAAGTGTTTCAAACACAAACCTAATTTATGTACTTTTATTTCTTTAATTTTTTCTTCTATTAATTCCCATTGCGCAGCTTTTGACAGATGTATATTTGAAGTGTCTTAATGACCACAACGCTAAAGGACATACCCCTCTCCATGTGGCATGCCTCGCTGACAAACCAGAATGTGTGAAGGCTCTTATGGTGGCTGGGGCAGACTGTAACATATCCGCTGCAACAGAAAAATATTCTGAGAACGATACATCACCCAAGGAACCAGGAATACTAGGAAATTTGGTGCAAGAGTTTTCAAGCAAACTTCATGCACAAGATATGAAATTTGGGGGCACTCCCTTGCATTGGTCATGTTCTCGTGAAGTTGTAGAGTCACTCCTGGAAAAAAAGTGCCATATTAATGCACTTAATTTTGATGGAAGATCTGCTTTACATTTAATGGTTGGTAAACCACATGTTTTTCTTTTTCCCATTTTTCTTAACTGGTTTTCTGCACACATTGCGATATTCTTATCTAAAAACAACTCTAACCAAAAGTCGTCGCTTTCTACCAGGTGGAAAATGAAATTTATCTTTATTCCACATCAATTATTGATAAATTTTAAAAAAGGTTAATCTTTTTGTTGTTTTCCAATATCTATTTGTGTATACTTTTTGTAAGAAGTGTATTTTTACTGATGTAGACCGCTTCATAAAAATAACTATTTTAAAGAAACTGAGTGCCTTGTTTGTTAATGCTTGCTTAGAAGTAGTGGTGTATTTTTTTGTAAATTAGTTAATGGTTCCACCTTAGACAATATTTTGTGTTGATTGCAATGAAATTATTACAATCATACCAAAATAAACTGTTAATAAAGGTTTCTATTTCAATCTGCTCAGGTAATGCGAAAACGTCTTGATTGTATAATGGCACTTCTCTCCCATGGAGCTGACCTTAATATTGGAGATTGCGATGGGAACACCCCCTTACACTTTGCTGTGACTAATCGAAACTTAACCGCTGTCCAAGCCTTAATTGTTTTTGGAGCTTCTTTGAATTATAAGTAATAAGACTTGACATTTTGAAAAGTATTTGTATTATCATAGAATGTATAAAATTTTGTTGATTCTCTCTTACGGCATATTTCAGGAATAATAATGGGGCTACTGCTAGACATTTAGCAACAAAGGATACATCATCTGATGGCAACAAGATTCTGTACCTCCTTCATTCGGTTGGGGCTGCACGGTGCAGTCAAGACATGAAGGAATGCACCTCAGGATGTTCATTCACAGGAAAGTTCAACGGAACTGCCCCTCCCTCCCCATATGCTATCTATGCTAGAGAAGCATTAGACCAAATCTTGGCCACGAATGCCATGGATATTGCTTCTCATAGAAATGGAGATAAAAGGTAAGACAACAAAGATGAAAATAACTATGAAGTTCACTGTTAATTGACTAAAATCTTGTGTCTTGCAGTTCCCGAATTCGATCTCATGCTCTGTGTCTTGACGGTGGAGGAATCAAAGGTGTGGTCCTGGTTATCATGCTGCGAGAAATTGAACAGGCTGTCGGCAAACCTATTATTAAGTGTTTTGATTGGGTTTCTGGGACATCTACGGGAGGAATTCTGGCATTGGCATTAGCTGTCGGTCAGTATATTTGAAGATCACTCAGATTTGCTAGATGTAATGAATTGAGAACACTGTCTTTACTTGTCCTTTTGTGTGCAGGTAAATCTCTACAAGATTGCCTCTGTTTGTATTTTAGAATGAAAGATTCTGCTTTCCTTGGTAACAGACCTTATCCCAACGAACCTTTGGAAAAAATTTTGAAAGACTGTTTTGGTGCCGACACTGTCATGTCAGAAATCACACACCCAAAGTATGTCTTACATTGAGCTTACCCCATGCTTTTGTTATGCTTTCATGATGACTTATGCATCTTTTAAATTTAGGCTTATGATTACTGGGCTATTGGCTGATCGCAAACCGGTTGACCTACATTTATTCCGTAATTATGAGTCTCCTCTTCAAATTCTTGGAAAAGATGAATATTCTCATGGTAAATTTAAGAAGCCAGTTTCATACCATGAGCAGTTTTTATGGGAAGCTGCACGTGCATCAGGAGCTGCACCAACCTACTTTGGGTAAGTGGCTTTATGTACCACAAAAAAATCTTTAGCACGTCCTTTGGTCATAATTTATTTTTTTTCCATACAGGGCTCATGGATTTTTCTTGGATGGCGGTCTGATAGCCAATAATCCTTCCTTGGACTGTTTGACAGAGATTCATGAATACAATATGGCCTTAAAAGCAGTTGGGAGAGAATCCGAATTGGCCCCTATCACTGCTTTGGTTTCTATTGGAACTGGGAACATTCCCACTACGGAGGTATGTTGCGCTACGCTGATAAAGTAATGTTCGTTTCATTTAATAATTTATCATAAATTTAATATACGGTTGTTATTAGCTTCAAGACATTGATGTTGGCCGCCCGGGTAGTTTGTGGAATGCCACCAAGCTTGTCTCTGGAGTCTCTAATCTTATAACTCTGATCATTGACCAGGTAAGAAACCAACAGTTTAATTTATCCTATCTCTCTGTCTACAGAAAAAATGTTCATGAGCTCCTCATCAATTTTTCCTTTTTCTTTCCTTCAAATCAGGCTACTCAAAGCTCAGGTCGAGTTGTGGACAGAGCAAGGTCGTGGTGTTCATCGCTTGGAGTCCCATTCTACCGTTTCACTCCCCAGCTATCAGAGGATATAAACATGGATGAAAGAAGTGACGAGAAGCTTGTTAACATGGCGTGGGAGTGCCAAGCCTACATGCACAGCCAGCGCACAGTGGTGAATGAGCTGGCTGAGATATTAAGAGGGTAGACAAAATCCTGTGGCAAATATTGAATGTGATTTACGTAAAATAACCTTTTGCCTTTTTGTCACCTTTTTCACTTTTATCTTTAATGTCTTTTTGGTATTTGAAATTGTTATGGAAATTGTTTTTAGATGTCTATCTTGAATTTGTTAAATACATTTGTAATGAACTAAGTAATAAAATATTCTAACACTACACTATAACTTACTGCTTAGGGCCAAAAAGGTCCTCAAAATAGTGTGCGGAGTGGCTCATCATTGCCCATCATTTCTTACAGGCAACTTTCAAGACTAGACGCTGTAGAATTGGAGATGTTCTTTGTATTTAGGCCAGGCCGAGGCCAATTTACCCATTGTGGTATATGGCAGAGATCCAGAGATGACAAGATGAAGGGTTTTAGTTCAGGTGTCAAGAAAGATGTTAACATTATTTCCATAAATATTTAATAGATACTTTGAGAACTTTTCTTAAACTGCTTCTCAGAAAAAACCATACAGAAGGAAACCAAGGAACATAAGCTAAAACAGAACTGATGGGGAATCAGAAAGTTCATTTAGGTGGCACAAGGATCTACAACACAGTTTGAGCGTAAATTATACAATATTATTTTTTGCATATTTGCTCACAAGATGTGCCCTTATTTACAATTTAAATATGTCTTCCCTCTCTAACAATATACATACCCCCCCAATTTGCTCTAAAATATTTCATAATACTGCTTCGCTATTTGTAAAAATATGTGCATTTATTTGTTTAGAATATGATTTCCATTTTGGTTAGAATGGAATGGAACAAGACAGGGTTAGATAATTATTTGTAAGGACCTACATTTACAATGAAATTTTGATTAATATTTGAGTGACACAATGCTGCTACATAGTAACCACTTGTTGACAATTAATAAGACTTTGCACTTTCCAATTTCTTTCAAACAAATAAAACAAGGGAGGAATAATTTTATGAATGACAATGTGAGGGAAACACAACTCAAATTAAAGTGCTGATATTTAAAACTGTCAACTTTCCATCTGGCTTCTCAGACTGTTGCAAAAAAACCTTAACAAACAGATACGTGGGACGATGGTAAATTGTGCAAAATTTGGCCCTTTCTACAGTTATTTGATTAGGAAACAGATCGATCCTTCAAAAACACTTCATGATGACATATTTTTCTTCAAAACAAAAAAAATTCATCAAAAAGAATGTATCAAGTAATAAAAGAGAAATTAGTCAAATATAAACATAAAAAAATGAAGTCTTTTTCTTAACAAAGTAAACCAAACTAAACGGACATACTGTAACACAGTTCTAGACCACAGATAAAAATTTTGGTTGGCCAATAATATGTGATACCTCAACACATTTCATAGATTTTGAGGTGTTCACAGGATAAGAGCTTGAAATCCTCAAGGAATCTTTCTTCTTTACAATAAGTCTATTTTATATTTAAGAATTGGAAACTACACTAAAACAGCAATTGTGATCAGAAGACGGTTGAGAAAGGATCTGCATCATTCATTGTGTTTAGTTGAGAGAAAGTGAAAGTAAAGGAGTGAATGAAAACAGGTTCCTCTTGTGTGTTCATAGTAAAGAAAAAAACAATGGAAAAAGGATTTCATTAAATCTTAGAGGGGAATAGTGTCAAAGTATAAAGACTGCAGAGACACCATTCATTTTCAATGGTTCATTAAAATTTTAAGCAATTTAAGCTTTGAATAATTTTCTTTGCACTCAGCAACATGACCCTACAGCAGCTGTGAATAATAGTTAGTAAACAACTGTACTGTACAAAAACAATCAGGCCATAGACTGAAGAACTATCTCTGAAGAAAGCTCTTTGATATTTCAGTAACATCAGCACACATATTCATACATGCATACATAAGACATATGTATGTACATGCAAACAAACACAATAGAAGAACAGTCCGGCACACTGACATAATACTTTCAGTGAAAAATTTAGAATATAAACCGTTGGTATTGAAGTGATCTGATGGTCAGATTTATTTTAGTACACTTTTAAATACATTTTATATGAGCAATATGAACCTTAATTATGGTCAAAACCACAATATATCATTACATGAAGTTCCTGATATAAACAAGGAAAAAAGAAAAAAAAACAAAGTTAAGAGAGGGATGATGTCATATACAAACATCACTTGCCACATTGAGTCACTAAACAAAATATAAGGGAGAAACAACAAAATCTGTTAATAAGTTTAACAATAATTGTAGGAAATGTGAGAGTAACCATAACAAAAACATCATGATTAGTCTCACAGGAATGATGAGAACAAGAACAGTGTGTAATCTTTTACATCCTATCTAGGTATTTGTCCAGAAAAATTCAGCGTGTGCACTAGTAATACTGCCTGTACATTGTATAATACACAGACCTAGCATAATTTTGTTTAGAATAAGAGCTCTACCACTTCAGAGCTTCATGCTCTTGAAGGTATACTTAAGATTATTTTACTGCTCCAAGATTATTATTTACAATAAATAACATAAAGAGATAGGAGATAGGCCATAAATGCAGTGCTACCAATCTAACAGTCACTTTAAATAAAGGTAATACTGAGAGTTGGCCATGAAACTAAATGATCATAGTATCATATGGAGAGATAGATAATTTCATTTACAAGAATAAACTGTGAGTAATGGCAACAGAGTTTAAGTACATAAAACATAAACAGTATCATTTTCCTGCTCTCAAAGGGAACAGAAATTTTGTCATAACATAAGAGTAAATCCTCCTCAGTATAAAAACAGCAGGATGACATCATTAAGCATTCAACAAAAAACAGGAAGAAAACCAACAGATAATAAAGGCACCAAAGCATACTTCCCAAAAATTAAAACAGTTGTAAAGTAAGCAACTGAAACTTGTTTTGCAGATTTACACACAAAGATCTCAATGTTGGACTGAAGCAAACAAAATAAAAGTGTCTGAAAACCAAGAAATAACCATGAAATAAGAGACTGAAATATAGATCACATTCACAATGACTTCCAAAATCTTATAATATATCCAACACAGCCAGAATTGGTTCAGCCACACAGGACAGACATCCTGATTATGGAGCGATAGTGTCATCGCCAAGAACCCATGTTTAAATTATCTAGTTGACAACACTGACAGAATAATACAATTCTGGAATATTTCTTTCAATTATCTTTTCCCTTTTGCCCAACATTGAAACTTCTTTGGCAAAGCAGCCAAGGAAGTAGGTCAGTAGCACGTAGTGTTGCTCTTAGCGCAGAGACATACAAAATATTTGCTGCAATCCCCGTCGAGAGCCCTCTCTGTCAGCTCGGAAGCCACCCTCATGAGGATCATCATCATGGTTTTGTTCATCGTGACCATCAGGAATCGGCAAAGGGCAATCATCTGTCTGCACCCAGTCATGAGGGGTCAGGCCCACATCATACCCTCCCAAGTGAAGACGTTGTAATTGAAGCCATTCCTCTTCAGATTCTTCTTCTTCATCATCTTGGTCTCTTAGAACATTTACACCAGGAACTCCAACCACGCTACCTGCTACTACCTCTCCTTCTTGACCCCCATCATCCAGTCCCAAGACAACTCCAGGTTCGGTGCTTTCATCATCATCGTCGTCATCCCTGAACACGCCCCTAAGAATTTGAAAGTGAAAATAGAAATGATTTTGGCTTCTAAGGGCCCAGATTAACTGGATTTAACTTGACCAGCAGTTTGCTTACCTGAATGCATCAACAACATCATCCTGGCCGTCTTCTGAGAGGCGGCCAGGGTCGTCTTGTCAAACACAGTCTTCAAGTGACATTAGTAATGGGTTCACATACTCAAAACCTTCAAACTCAGTTTGATCTATTTTCTCAATCACCCGCCTGTAACATAAAAAGAGTCCATTAGATTTTTCAACAGTAAGAGCATCACTGAAGATCAGAAAATAGTGCCACAAATGATTTTTGAAGAGCCGGACAAACTACACTTTGAAAGCTTATAAACTTTCATAAGATAATGAAAGTAATAAGGTGACAAGCAAAAGGAGACACACAATAGGATAAGCTGACTAGTTTTGCTACAATCATTGCTAATTTTGTTTTAAAACTCTGATAATTAACACAGCCATGCTTGGTTTCCTTCATATGGTGGTGAAAAATGCAAACGCACAATCAGAGAAACTTGGAACTCCAACTCCCAACACTTGGCCATTCGCAAGCCAAGCAAGGGAAGGGATTACTTACGCATCATCAGGTGTCAAGTGAACAGGCTCATCAGTAAACTCTGGGGGGAAGTTGGCCAGATCCCGATCACCTTCCAGGCGGGGTTTGTACGGTGGAGGGACTTGCTTCTGCTCCAACTGTACGGAACAAGGACAAGCCAGCAAGCATTCTTACTACAAGCCAAAGCAAAGGGTATAACTACGCTGTCCTATCTGAACAACATCCTGAAATGCTTACATTAGCAAGCATTAAACCCTCTTAACTAAGAAACTCTCCTCAATACCAAGTAACTCGTCATCTGGAGCCTTGGAATTTAAGGGAACTACCTGCCATTAACCAATGCATAAGAAAGGTAATGCAGCATCTACAAAAAATTAACGGTGGAATAAAGATAATAAAATGGTGAGCAAAAGGTTGCTAGAGCTGCATTGACCGAAGTAGAGGACCACTTACGGGTCATCTGGAGTGAGCTCAGCAGGCTCACATGTAAATTGTGGATCAAAGTTGTCTGAGTCTATATCTGAGCGAACCAATGGGCTGAATGGAGGAGTCACTTGACGACACTCCAGCTGCAGACAAAGCAACCAATTTCATGGGTGGACCTCTTCAGGGTGGTCTAACATTCTAGAAAACCTTCTTTCTATGTTGAGGTTCTATTTTTTTGTTACAGACAATTTTGCAAGAAATATCACCAGAGGACTAGGATGACCTACTTAACCCTTTTCATAGCTTATAAAAGTTTTGGAACATCTCTTCTGCACATCTTCATTCAAGCTTAATAAATTAAATCAAAAGAGACTGGTAATATTTGAAAAACTGTACGTACCGCCTCCCAGTCAATGCTTTTAAAGAAAGCATGGCCAGTGATATCCTGGAACCCTGTTTCTCGATGACAACCCAAACGATCAATAGGGTTCTTGTTTAGGAAGCCCTTCAGGACAGATGCAGCTTTCACAGATAGAGAGCGAGGAATACGAATCGTCTTCTCCAATATAACTGAAAATTCGCACAGGATTGTTATTTTATAGCAAGCACACACTTCTCAGATGGTTATATCACTAGTACACCATTATTTCAGTCACCTTGGAAAAGATAATCCTCCGTGTTCTGGTCAGGATTCTCCGATGCGCCTGCAATGTCGAACGGACTTCTTCCCGCCAGCATTTCATAGAGGAGCACACCGAGCGCCCACCAGTCCACACTGTCGATCACAACAAAGGACACCTTGAGCACGCCTGGCAAACTCGTGACAAGACAAAGATCCCAGCAGGCCACCAGGCCAGCAGCCCACAGTGGGCCAGAAGACCGGTGGAGGCGGCCAAAACTCCAGACGCGCTTCGAGCTCCAGAGTCGGTAAATAGGACTCGAACTGAACGTGTGACCCCACCAATGGGTTGCTCTTCGACCGAGGAATCCATTGGTGGGGTCACACGTTCTGTTCGAGCCCTGTTTAGCGGCTCTGGAGCTCAAAACGCGTCTAGAGTTTTGGCCGCCTCCACCGGTCTTCTAGCCCACTGTGCAGCCTCGGGCGCGGAGCGGACCCACCTGAAGCCGTAGTCCTCCCCGCGCAGGATCTCCGGCGCGATGTAGTTGGGCGTGCCGCAGAACGTGGAGGTGGTGTCGCCCGGGCGGATGCCTTCTTTGCACATGCCGTAGTCCGTCAGCTTGATGTGGCCCTCGTGGTCCAGCAGCACGTTGTCCAGCTTCAGGTCACGGTAGATGATGCCTGTAACGCGGCAGGTGCAAGCTCAAGACCGTGTCGCTCTCTCCGTCCCTTTTCCACCCCGTCTCTCCCCATTTGTGAAACGGAGACAAAGCATCGACCAACCCTCCCCCCCCCCTCCAAAAAAAAAGAAAAAAAAGAAATGATGAGCTGGAGTATTTGAACCTGTGCTCACCTTTCTCGTGCAGGAAGTTGAGGGCCAGGCTGATCTCGGCCGAGTAGAAGCGGGCGTGCTCCTCGGGCAGGCGGCGCTGGCGCTGCATGTGGAACATGAGGTCGCCGCCGCGGACGAACTCGATGACGAAGAAGAGGCGGCTGGGCGTCTGGAAGCACGAGTGCAGGCCCACCAGGAAGGGGTGGTTGGACGCCGTCTCGAACACGTGCTTCTCCGTCTGCACCCAGTCGATGTCCTCGTCGTCCGTCACCAGAGCCTTCTTGATGACCTTCATGGCGTAGATGCGCTTCGTCTTCTTGAGCTCCACCATCAGCACCTTGGCGTAGCTGCCGCGCCCGATGACGCGGATCAGATCGAAGTCGATGATGGAGTACTGCCGCTGGGTGCCGGGCTCCAGACTCTCGTCAGCTGTCGGGCAGAAGCAGCCACGGTTTTGAAACAAGACGAAACGACAACAACAAAAAAGCGTCGCGTCAGCCATCCAATTTCCCAGAACGCGCTGTCGCACACGCTCTTTTTCCTGTTTCTCTTTTTTGCGTTCCGTTCCGCTCCGACCCGGTCTGAGTGGCTCGCGTCGAACGCCCCATGCCGGCGCGGCAGCCCCGGCGTGGCACAGTGGGCCAGAAGACCGATGGAGCGGCCAAAATTCGAGACGCGTTTTGAGCTCCAGAGTCACTAAAAGGGACTCGAACCGACCGTGTGACCCCACCAATGGATTCCTCGTTCGGAGAGCAATCCATTGGTGGGGTCACACGTTCGGTTCGAGTCCCTTTTAGTGACTCTGGAGCTAAAAACGCGTCTCGAATTTTGGCCCCTCCACCGGTCTTCTGGCCCACTGTGCGTGGCACGGCGTGGCACTGCTAGGCACTCCAGCCGTACGCCACGCCGTGCCACGCCGAGCCACGCCGCGCCTGCTCCGGCATGCCGCACATGCTAATTAACGGAATCGATATTCGAGCCGTTTCGTTTCGTTTCCGACACAGCAAGCGCGGGGCGTGTGCGGGGCGTGTGCGGGGCGTGCGCGCGGGGCACGGTACTCACCGTTGGAAGGGTCGTCGACGGGCACCGCGCCAGTCGAGAGGTCCGAGGGCGGGTCCGGGAACTCCTTCTCCGGCAGCAGGTCCGAGGTGGGCGTGCCTGCAGCGAAAAAGGGACCGATCAAGAAAATCGAAAAATTGAGAAATTAAGAAATCAAAAAATCGAGAAATTTCAAAAAATCGAGAAATTGAAAAATCGAGAAATTGAAAGGTTGAGAAATCGAGAAATTGAGAAATTGAAAGGTTGAGAAATCGAGAAATCGAGAAATTGAAAGGTTGAGAAATCGAGAAATTGAGAAATTGAAAGGTTGAGAAATCGAGAAATTGAGACATCGAGAAATCGAGGGACCGTGCGTCAGCACTACCCCAGTGCCACACTCTGCAAACTGAAGTGTGTAAATAGTACACTCTTATTAGAGCATGCTTCCAAGTACACTCTTATTTACAGCATACTTGCTAGGTACACGCTAAAATAGAGTGTACATTGCATGTACACGCTAAATAAGAGTGTACCTTGCAAGAACACTTTAACTGGCCCATGCTTTTAGATAGGACTAATCGAGTGTATTTTAGTGTGTACCTGCAAGGTACACTCTTATTTAACTGGCCCATGCTTTTAGATAGGACTAATCGAGTGTATTTTAGTGTGTACCTGCAAGGTACACTCTTATTTAGCGTGTACATGCAATGTACACTCTACTTTAGCGTGTGCCTGGCAAGTATGCTGTAAATAAGAGTGTGCTTGGGGAAGCATGCTTTAATAAGAGTGTGCTATGTACACACTTAAGTTTGCAGTGCACCTGCATAAGGTCGCTTGTTTCGCACCGCGACTGGACTTCCCCGCGAGAGAGACATGAGTGCACTCACCATTGCTGTCGTCCCGGGTGACGGGCTCCACCTGCTCGTTGCTGCAGGGCTTGGACACCAGCTTGTGGCACTTCTTGTGGACGAGCAGCTTGCACTGGATGCACTTGAAGCCCTGCCGGCCAAGTCCCCAGATCCGGTCTTGGCAGTAGGCGCAGAACGCGCGCTGGGGACAACGAGAACAGGAAGGTTCACAAACACGTCGAGCATCGAGGGGCAGTGGCGGATCCAGAGGCGACGGGTCGCCACATTTTGCCTACTTACAGGGGCAAAGTAGCACTTTTTGCCTACCTTTCAGGCGGCTATCTAGGGGCTGGGGGGGGGGGCAAAAACCCATTGCCCCCCCCCCGTATCCGCGCCTGTCCAGGGGCGGTGACAGGGGGGGGAATCGGTTTTCACCGCTAAGACACCTGCATAACCGCCTGAAAGGTACACTCTACAAAAAATGTCCTGTCAACGCCGTTAATTTATTACCAATGTTTGCTGTTATGCAATTCACGGCGTTTGCTGTGAACTAGTTCACGGCGTTTACTGTGATCTCGGTTACAGTGTTCACTGTGATCTGGCCACAGTAAACGCCGTGAATTGGAGCCTGATTTGCAGTACTTCGGTGCTCAGCGGCGTCAAACTCACAGTGTTTACTGGGGACCAGATCACAGTGAACACTGTAACCGAGATCACAGTGAACGCCGTGAACTAGTTCACAGCAAACGCTGTGAATTGACCTACAGTGAAAACTGGTAATAAATTAACGGCATTTACAGGACATTTTTGGTAGAGTGTAGGCAAAGACACACGTTGCCCCTGTAGGTAGGCAAAATGTGGTACTTGGTACCCCCCCTTCCCCCAGGCAACCTCTGGACCCGCCACTGCGAGCATCGCCAGCAACAACGCGTCTCCGGCGGCGGCGCAATCGACAGAACAACCCCTCCCCCTCTCCCTCCCTCTTCGCCCCAAATCGACCACCGGCAGCCCCGGCTATGAATACCGGGCGAGTGGCGCGGCCACTGCCAAATTCAATCAAGCGGGCCAATTAGGCAGCTGCCCGTCTCTCTCGCACCCACGGCGCCGAGCACGGCGCGCCCCGCAGCAGCCGCAGGGTGCGACGGAGACGGAGTGCGACTCTACATAGCAGGGGCTGGAAGCGTGCTGGAAGCGCGCGTCAAAAACAGACACAAACCGACCGCGAGTCACCAATTACATTCGCGTTCGTCAGAAAGAGACAGAGAGAGAGAGAGAGAGAGAGAGAGAGAGAGAGAGAGAGAGAGAGAGAGAGAGAGAGGAGAGAGAGAGGAGGGGAGAGGGAGGGAGGGAGAGGGGGGGGGGAGGGTGAGAAGGAGTGTTGGCTCGCTGCTACCGCTACCAGCCACCACCGAGAGAGCCAAGTTTCGGCGGACATATCTCCGGACTCGGGTCCAGCTCTGCATTCCTTCGAAATGAGACTCGAATCGAACGCATGAGGGCGCCAATGGATTGCCCCCGGAGAGCGAGGAATCCAATGGTACTCTCATACATTTGATAACAGTTCCATTTCAAGAGAGTGCCGCGCTCGAAACGTGCCTGTCGCCTCCAACGGGTCTTCCGCTTCCGCCCCAGGCTGCTCTCTCTCTCTCTCTCTCTCTCTCTCTCTCTCTCTCTCTCTCTCTCTCTCTCTCTCTCTCTCTCCCCCCCTCTCTCTCTCTCTCTCTCGCACCCTTACGGGCCGCCGCCCGAGAGCGAGAGAGACGGAGCGACAAGCGCTAAAGCAATCGGACGGGCGGTAATGAGCGAGGGAAGCCCGGTCAAGCCCGGCCAGGCAGCGTCGCCCTGTCTCTGTCGCACTCGTGGGGCGCGGGGCGCCGTGTGGCGGTGCCAGAGAGACAGAGCGACGAAACGGCTTTGGCCGTGCTTGGCCGTGCTTGGCCGTGCTTGGCAGGCCAGACCGCTCAATCGGACCAATTAGTCGCCGCGAAGACGCACAGTGGGCCAGAAGACCGGTGGAGGCGGACAAAACTCTAGACGCGTTTTGAGCACCAGAGTCGCTAAATGGGACTCGAACCGAGCGTGTGACCCCACCAATGGATTGCTCTCCGAACGAGGAATCCATTGGTGGGGTCACACGTTCGGTTCGAGGCCTGTTTAGCGATTCCGGAACTCAAAACGCGTCTAGCGTTTTGGCCGCCTCCACCGGTCTTCTGGCCCACTGTGAGACGGCAAAGGCAGGCCAGGGCTGCCAGGGCTGCCAGGGCACGGCACCTTTAAATGGGCTGCCCCAACCCCAACCCCCATCGCCTGCAGTTTCGGAAATGTGTGCCATTCAGAGAGAAAGAGAGAGAGAGGGTCGCTGGGTGTTCAGCGCGGACGGACTGCAGTGAGACAGCACCAGTCCAGGTAGGACGGTGGGGCGTACATGACTTGAGCTTTTGCATGAGTCCAAGAACCAACGTCGCGATAAGGAAAAGGCTCCCGGTTCGAAGGGCAATCCAAATCCGTTGGTGCCTTCAAATGATCGGTTCGAGGTGCGTCCTCACGGGGCGCGCCGCTGGGGGGCGAGAGAGACAGCGCGACGACACGCTCATCGGACGCGCCGGCCGCCCGCACGCGAGCACGCCGTCGCACAGAAGACCGGTGGAGGCGGCTGAAAATCTAGACGCGTTTTGAGCTCCAGAGTCGCTAAATGGGACTCGAACCGAACGTGTGGCCCCACCAATGGAATGCTCTCCGAGCGAGGAATCCATTGGTGGGGGTCACACGCTCGGTTCGTCTCATTTAGCGACTCTGGAGCTCAAAACGCGTCTAGAGTTTTGTCCGCCTCCGCCGGTCTTCTGGCCCACTGTGTGTCGGCAGGAACGGAGGGCTAGGCGGCGTCGCCTCCCGAACGGAAAAGAAATAATCTAGAACGAAGCGGAGGAAAGCGGTCTCGGCGCCCCGGGAAAGACAAAAACAATCAAAAGGAAACTCACCCTGTTGAACCTCTTGGCCTGGAAGATGTGGCCATTCACTCGATACAGTTTTCGCCAGCGCCGGGCGCCCCGCCTGTAGATGCTCCCTGGGGAAGGCAGACCAAGAGTTCTTAGGAAAGAGTCGATCAGAGAGCGAAGAGCGAAGCACACTGTCAAAATTTGGCTTGTCACTTGAGCTAATTTCCCAATTATTGTCATCATCATCAGCGCTGTTGGGCCTCAGCAGACCTCTAGCGTTCGAGTAAGCAGCTACTGCAAGCGACGGACTCCAGACTACAAGTATAGGAGCTTTGATGAAAATGCCATCAATTTGTGGCGAAATCGTCATCATTTGACAGAGATGCAATGAGTTGAGGTAAGTTACGCATGCCTGGTTCGAACACGTCCCGATGAAACGAAACATTCATCAGAGATCCTTAACTTAACTTAACATTTAACTAACACTGCTTTCATAACGTAACATAAGACAATGTTCGCTAAAGGTTAAGGGTACGGACTTTTGGAAATACTTCCAAAAGTATCTCTACACAAATTCAAAACACAAAAAAAATAACTTACCCTTTTTGAAAAGATGTCAGACGTTAAGGTTAACAACTTTAACTCTTACGACTCGTCTTACGATAACGTTATGATGCCCTTATGAGGTAAGTTAAGGATCCCTGACATTCATAGAGCCCACACCCCAGCCCCCTTGACGTGATTTGAATTGCTCTTTCATTTTGTTTCCCCTCGTAGGCCGGTCGCGTAGTCGCGTCGTTGTACTCACTGTCCTCGCCCTGACAGGGCATCCCCGGCGCGGCCGGCACGTTGGCAAAAACTGCAACAGACAAAAAGCAGAGAAATGAAGAACAAAGGCCGAGATGCACACATCACAAACAGTCCGGCAGCAGCGGAGCACAGCGAAGCGAGACAAAGACGAGGCGCCCCCGCGCCGCCAGAGTCTCGACGCGCTGTCTCTCTCGCACCCCTACGGCACGCCCCGCGAGTGCGAGAGAGACAGAGCGACGAAAGCGATGTGCGGGATCGCTCTGCCGTCGGTCTCGGCCGCCCCGCCCGTCCGACGAGTGCTCGGCAAAGCCGGAGCGTGACAGTCACACCACCCCGCCCCGCCCCGCCCGGCCAACTCAAAATAACGCCATTTTAACTTTCAGATGGCTTGGCCATGGCTTGGCCATGGCTTGGCGCGCTGAGGCGGGATTGCCTCCAACTCGCTGCAGGCTCATTCCGAACGAACAGCCCCTTCTTCGCTCCGTCTCTCTCGCACTCGCGGGGCGCCCCGCAAGGCCGCAAGGGTGCGAGAGAGACGGAGAGAGGCAGCACTGAGCGGAATGAGCCAGCGACTCATCCAGGAAGCAAAGGCGGGAGTCCTTCCGGCGGCGGGCCGCTCCTCGTCTCTCTCTCTCTCTCTCTCTCTCTGGCAGCTACTATTGACTCGGACTTTTTAATTGTTTCCATTTTTTCCGCCAAATATTTTCACTCCCCGCCTGCGGGGGAAGAGAAGGGGGCGCGGCGCCCCCCTATTCTCTGCCATTACCGCGGGCGCGGTCCCAGCAGTCTCATTCCGAACAGTGCTCTCTCTCTCTCTCTCTCTCTCTCCTCTCTCTCTCTCTCTCTCTCTCTCTCTCTCTCTCTCTCTCTCTCTCCCCCTTGAGGGCGTGCCGTGAGTGCGAGCGAGACAGAGCGACGACAGCCCAACGCAGCGCCCCTTTTAGGTAATCACCCATCGGCTGATTGAGGCAGTCGCCACCAAGGCGGTGCGGTGCGGTCGGTCTGGTCGCAGGCCCGGTCTGCCAAAACCCCCACTGAAAAAACTGTTTCAGTAGATTCTACTGAACGCGTTCAGTAGACCCCTTAGCAGTATATTGTATGGAGCGCGCAATACCTGCTACTGTTCGAGTGGCAGTAGATTCTACTGAACAGTTCAGTGCGCGCCGTACAGTAAAGCTACGCAGTCCGGTGGATGTACTGCACCTTAGTCGTCGGGCCCCCCCCCCTACACCTCCTCACCCCGCCGGGGCCCTCGGTCCACCCCGCGCTACCCCTCCCTCGCTCCTTTTGGGGACGCACTGGCGCGCTTTGTCCGGGCCGCACCGACACAGATGTGCTTGTGTACCGTCTCCGGAGCACTGCCTTCAACGCGCAGGCATGGCTGAGTGGTACAGTCATGATCTGTATCGGGCGGCCCGGGTTCAACCCCAGTCGTGGCCGTCGCAGTTCGTCGCAGCAAGCAAGTCGAAAGCTAGGATTGACGAGTGGGAGGGGGAAAGGGGGGGAAGGGGGTGGGGTGGGCTGGGCCGCCCCTCCCCCATGTTTTGACCAGCAGTCCCATTTACTGTACGCGATCAGTAGCATCCACAACAAATTTTTTAGTAGCGTCTACTGAATGGCCGTTCCGTAAAATCTATTTGAATTCCCAGCTAACGATATTTTACTGTACGGGTTTAGTAAGAAAAAATGTTATGTCCGTTGGATATACTGAAATTTTTTTTCAGTGCCTAAAGCCTTGCCTTGCAGCCTTGCAGGGGCCGGGGGCGTCCACTGCGCCACCGCGGCCAGGCCACCCCGACGCCGCGGTCTGGGGCGACAGCGGCTCTGCGGCGACGACGACGGCGACTTCCTCGAGGAGCCCAAGCACAGTGGGCCAGAAGACCGGTGGAGGCGGACAAAACTCTAGACGCGTTTTGAGCTTCAGAGTCGCTAAGCAGGCCTCGAACCGAACGTGTGACCCCACCAATGGATTCCTCGTTCGGAGGGCAATCCGTTGGTGGGGTCACACGTTCACTTCGAGTCCAATTTAGCGACTCTGGAGCTCAAAACGCGTCTTGAGTTTTGTCCACCTCCACTGGCCCTCTGGCCCACTGTGCCAAGCCACCGCCAAAGCGGACCCCAGACCGCCGCTCCGCGGATCCACGTGAAAAATTGCGCCGCTCTGTCACCCACATTCACATCCGCGTCCTCGCTCGAATCTCCAGGAGCCTTCGCCACCATTTTCCGCGCGAGCGAAATCTTGGCCTTTTTGGCGTGCTTCCAGCGCTTCCAGCGCTTCCAGCGGGCGAGATCGACCGGCTCGGCCCCGCGGTCCCCGTGCGGTGCCGCTGCAAGGCCGAGGCCAGCCAACAACAACAAGGCAGTGGCAGCGGCAGCAACAACAACAACTCACGACACCCGTGCAGCTGGAGCTTCGTGGACGGACGCCGCGGGACGCACAGTGGGCCAGAAGACCGGTGGAGGCGGCCAAACCTCTAGACACGTCTTGAGCTCCAGAGTCGCTTAAAAGGACACGAACCGAGCGTGTGACCCCGCCAATGGATTCCTCGTTCGAAGAGCAATCCATCGGTGGGGTCACACGTTCAGTTCGAGTCCTATTTAGCGACTCTGGAGCTAGAAGCGCGTCTGGAGTTTTGGCCGCCTCCACCGGTCTTCTGGCCCACTGTGGGACGCCGGCTACGCACCTTCGGTGGAGCTCTGCGATCTGGCCTTGAGGCGGCCGGCGCCCAGGCCTCGGCCCTGGTGGTGGCCTTGCGAGCCCTGCGAGCGCGCGCCGCCGCTGAAGAGGTCCACCAGGCTCTGGCCGAGGCGCGCCACGCCGAGGAGGTAGAGGCCCTGGGCGGACACATCGCACAGCCTCGGCCCGGCGGGGGCCCTCGTCCCGGACCGCGTCGCGGACCGCGTCCCCGGTCGCAGCCCCGGCGCCACGCTCCACATGGCGACACTGCCGGCTAGCGTCGTCTGCTAGCGTCGTCTGCTCGCGCAACGCCGCAACGCCCCTCTACGTACCCTAGTTGCCGCTATCTGATAGCGCTATCAGTACACAGCCAAAATCACGGACCCACAAAAGAAGAGGGCGAGAGAGACAGAATGAGGGATAGAACGAGAGAGTTCAGTTTGTAAGTTTTTCATTGGGGGAATTGAGAGAGAGCGAGAGAGTGAGCAAGTGAAAGAGTGAGACAGACGGCGTGCGCGACCGCCAGCCACTTCGCCGATCGGGGGGTAAGCAAACAACGCATATAAGAAAAGATAAATCTGACGGTGAATTATCGTTCCATCTCTCTCTCTCTCTCTCTCTCTCTCTCTCTCTCTCTCTCTCTCTCTCTCTCTTCCCCCTCTCTCTCTCTCTTTGTCGTGTGGCCCTGTGTGACGCAAGCAGCAGCGCGGTGCACCAGGGGGGGGGGAAGGTAAATGAGTCCACTGGGGCTTGCAGGGCTTGCACAAGGAGCCCCCACCTCCCGGTGCCGCTCCACTAGGCCCCCCTCGCCCCCCTCGGCCCCCTCCCACACACACGTCCGCACACACCTGTGTGCGAGAACTCGACCGCGGTACAGTACCGCACCGCTGCCAAGAAGGCCGTGCTACCGCCCGCACGCGCCCGCACGCCACTGACGTCACTTCACGACCAGGGGCGGCACGTGCCTGTCCAGTGGACCCACTCCGAAAGTCGCTCTGTCTCTCTCGCACTCGTAGGCGCCGCGTAGAAGTGCGAGAGAGACAGACGCGTTTCAATGACGAAAACTAACCGCAGGGTTTCGTGTTGATCTTACTTGGAGACACATCTTCAGAGAACGAAACTTGCTCAAAGACCATGACAAAAAGTTCCAACCCGAAAGAGTACAGACAAAACAAAGTGAGGGGATTCGCATGACCAGTTTATGACAAGCGCGGCCGTGCACTTCACTTCAACGAGCCGGCGCTGATGGCTGTTGCGTTCACGCGACCGGCCGTGGTTGTCGATGGCTAACGATACACTTCCTGAACATGAATAAAGTCCCAAACCAAACACGCGCCTCCCGGCTGAGGCGGCCGAGGCCGATAGGCGGTCACGCGTTCCAGCAAAATTATTAACCCATCGGCTTGGCGACCGGGGGGAAGGGGGGAAGGGGGGAAGGCAGCCCCCCGCCTCCCCCGGCCCCCTAAGCCTCCCGCTAGGTTGACATTAGTTTCCCCACCCTTCGACCTACGCACGATCAAGGGACGTTGTCTCCGCCCTCCGAGCCGTCAGACAGACAGCCCCGCAGCCCCAGACCGCCCAGAGCGTCCAGACGTGCCCTTGCAGGCCTCAAAGCACGACGGCGACGCAGAGCAGCGGCAAGCAGGCGGGATGCGGGCCACGAGCGGCACGGTGAGTGCGTTCCAAAAGAAAGAAAGAAAGAAAGGGAGAGGGAGAGAGGGAGAGGGAGAGGGAGAGGGAGAGGGGAGAGGGAGAGAGAGAGAGGAGAGGGAGGGAGAGAGAGAGAGAGAGGAGAGAGAGAGAGAGAGAGAGAGAGAGAGAGAGAGAGAAGAGAGAAGGGGGGGGGAGGGGGGGAAGGGAGACGGGGGGGGGGGGGAAAAGGGGGGGGGGGGAAAAAAAAAAAAAGGGGGGGAAAAGACGGGGCCCAGCACGGGAGGACGGGTTTTTGGAAAAAAGGGCCGTCCGGAGGACCCTCCCCCCCGCGCGTATTCATTGGCCGCCTGCACCGCGCCGTGCCGCGCCGAGCCGTGACGCCACGTAGTGTCAACGCCAGCGAGCCAACTTGAGAAAGTCCGTCGTCTTCTCGTTTCGCCGCCGCCGCGACCCCCCCCCCCCCCCCCCCCACCCCCCCGATCGTTTTAATTCAAAGCCACGCTCCGGCAGTCCGGCACACGAAAAGAACGCAACGAAAAGAAAATCACAGATGCTCCCTCTCAATCAAGGAGTCCCCGGCAGCAGCGCCAGCCCAGCCAGCCCCGCCAGCCCAGCCAGCAGCCGACCAAGGGGCGGGCAGGGAGGGGTGGAGAAAAAAGCAACCAAACAACAAGGTTGCGTTGCGCTCCGAGGCGGCACAAAAGGAGAGAGAGAGAGAG